TACGATATTGTAATATGTATATATTTAGATATTTTGTATCGTATGCTAATAAGTAATAAACGTTATTTTTGTGTATGCTTTTTTGTAACGTGGCTGGCACGCTGTCGTGGCTGTCGTTGGCCGGGTCGTCCACCAGTCGGAGGGGCGGCTGGGGAGAAGGAGGGGGGGGGGGGGGTGACGCAATTGAGCTAGTATTACTACTGGGCAGCAATAGCAGGCGCTAGCTGGTTGGGTTACCAGGCGAGTCCTGCTAAGGAGCCTATAATCGGCGAACCGATCTGCTGGTTTTGCCCTCGTTTTCAAACGAGGTACCGAATAACGAAACGAGGGGCTGACACGGGGGTGCTCGGTTTATGAGGCGTGGGCTTGTCATTTACTAACGAAACAAGCTTGTACCCTCTTACTAGCTAAATATGAGGCGATTTTTACACGTCGCTGCATGCTCATTTTTGCGCCAGCGGTTTTCCTACAAGGGGCTTGTAAGATTTTTTACAGTGTATGCCCACGGCATCGATGTCTCAGCTCCCCCAGAACAATGATGGCCAGATTATTTGCCCACGTATGTGACTGTCACGTTCCGTAGTCGCCGCGCGGAAGACTGTCATTTAGTGTCGGGCGGCGAAACAGAGACCAGAACACTGTAAAAAAATGTCACGAGCCAATTCTATGACAAGGAGTGGGTTACACGGTCGTCCATTGTACCTTGCTGTTACATATAGGGACATTATCAGCCTGAGGGTTGTTAGTTAAAGAGTGGGCTAGTGAAACAATTGGTTACAAACGGTAACCTAATAACTTAAATGCTTCCCTAACACCCCTTCCTGCTTATCAACAGATTTCGCGCTGTGTCGGAAAACTACGCATAGTCTCATAATTGAATCCGCCAGAAGCTTGTTGCATGCTAGTTACATGCGTGTTTCATTATCGTGTCATATTATTATTATGACGGCTAATGAGGCACCGCCCTGCACGTGCTTTAAATATAATCCTGCGCACACGCCGCCTAGTCGGAAACTCATCATCGGACTAGTCCTGGTAGGGTTTTCGTGTTGCCGAATGAGGCGAAACGACTTTGATTCGGTAGTACCTCATAAATCCCTGCTACGGTGAGCAGCGACGAGTCTGAGACTGCTTCTAAAACGCGTCCTTCACTTCCGGCGCGGGGCCGTCATTTCCGGCCGCCATTGTTCAGTTCTGCGGCTGCCGGCGGTTGGTGCGGTTGTGTTGTGGCACGGTGCGTTGTGAAAATCTCGGGCTGGGATATTTCGAAGGTACGTTATATTGTATGATATTTACGTAGCAATGGGGGACATTTTATTTATTTTGTAATATTCTGAACACATGTTGCGTCATAGAATTCACCCCTTGACCGTTGTGGGCCACTGTTTCGTTTGAATTCCGACTGTTGGAAGACGGACTTTCTTTCAGTTGCTGTCTAGCCTTTTTGCCAAATGTGTAAGCTACACATATTGCCTCACATTGATTTATCTTATACAGAAGTCAGTTGATGTAGATAATAATGCCATCCTCACTGATATTTTAAAATCAGCAGTTAATTTTCTTTTCTGTTTGCAGAGTTGCTTAAAGTTGTGGGAGACTGAGGCATGAAGGTATACCGGAAGCCAGCGATATTTCTGTTGGTAAGCCTCGCCCAGAAAAAAATTTGCTTGAATCTGCAAGGTATGTCAAATATTTGATGGACTGCACAGTGCACAATGTACCTGACATGGCAGGATCAACTTGCTCACTCGCCTGTTGTAAGTGCCGTTGCGTCAAAGCCCGTGGAAGTGCCCGATCGTGTCTCATGCAACCGTATTATTTTGTGAATGTTATTGGTGGTGACTCGAATCAGCTTTTGCACCACTCCGCTACGATATTGTAATATGTATATATTTAGATATTTTGTATCGTATGCTAATAAGTAATAAACGTTATTTTTGTGTATGCTTTTTTGTAACGTGGCTGGCACGCTGTCGTGGCTGTCGTTGGCCGGGTCGTCCACCAGTCGGAGGGGCGGCTGGGGAGAAGGAGGGGGGGGGGGGGGGGGGTGACGCAATTGAGCTAGTATTACTACTGGGCAGCAATAGCAGGCGCTAGCTGGTTGGGTTACCAGGCGAGTCCTGCTAAGGAGCCTATAATCGGCGAACCGATCTGCTGGTTTTGCCCTCGTTTTCAAACGAGGTACCGAATAACGAAACGAGGGGCTGACACGGGGGTGCTCGGTTTATGAGGCGTGGGCTTGTCATTTACTAACGAAACAAGCTTGTACCCTCTTACTAGCTAAATATGAGGCGATTTTTACACGTCGCTGCATGCTCATTTTTGCGCCAGCGGTTTTCCTACAAGGGGCTTGTAAGATTTTTTTACAGTGAAGGCCGCTCCGTCCCAAGGGTACGGGTGTTGGGCACTGGCGCGCCAACACGGCGCCACCAACTCTGAGCATGAAACACAGCCTCAAAGACGCTAATTATATAAGGACATATTTGTGTATGAGGTTATCGATGGAGTAAAGTATTTTCAATAAGTTATTTGTTGGTTTCACCGATAACCTCATACACAGCCTCAAAGACTGTTCACTCACATTCGTTGAATGTCGATGGCAAGTCAGTGCAAAGCGTCCACGGCACGCCATTTAGAAATGGTCGTTGTCCATTTAGTAGAGACGTGCAAACGCGTAAGTAGGTATTCGTCATGGGTAGTTGGGTGTTGGGACCAATACAAAAGTGATTATCTTCGAATAGTTCAGACCTTTTTCTTGGTCAATTTTAATTAGCATTTGTCGTGAAACGTTCTTAATGTTCGATTGTGTATGTTCGTACAAGTCGCATACATGCATCCGAGTGCGATACATTATTATCAATGATACAGAGTACAGCTTTAATGTCATGCTCCTAATGAGCTGCAGCAATGAATGTATACACTAGAAAATAAATGTGCGTCACTCCAAATGGCACTAATCAATCGTGGCTTGAAACGTCGCATCCGGGCGGAGTAAGCACATGGAGACGCAGGACCATTTATAATGGCGAGCTGACGCCATGAGTCATCGTGTAGGGACTGGGGACACAGACACTGCAGGGATATGGTCCAGCGGAGGTAAGCTCTTACTGAAGGTCTATGAGCCGATGGTCCAAGGGACTCAGCTACTGACTGAATATGGTCCAAAACGTACACTCACATTCCCGGGCAAGGCCAAACAGATAGTGGGACGGTAGTGTAGTGGGACGGTAGTGGTCCAAGTAGGATGTCGACCAAGGACACAGAACATTTCGGGTTTAAATTGAGAAGCTCTGTAACATTTAGCCATGACTCATGACTCATCTATTTTCCATGCATAAAGCATGAAAGATAGCTGGGCGGCATTTACGCTACTATTCTTTATCATTAAAACATTTCAATGTTAGGATATCTCGTATTGCCGCACCCCTTCACCGTCTATGACCACGTTTTCATGGGCATCACTGATCCGGATCAGAAAAAAATGGATTAGCTATTCCAGTGTAGTTTGACACTAGCCGACCTCTCCTCATTCAAGCATGCCTTCTGCCGACCTCCCCTCCGTGTGCCTTATGCCGACCTCCCCTCTTTCAAACGTGCCTTCTACCAGTACCGACCTCCCCTCCCTCAAACGTGCCTGCTGCCGACCTCCTCCTAACTCAAGCGTGCCTTCTGCGAGACGGCTGCGGTGGTGGACCGCCGCCGCCACCAGGCGCCGCCGATGACTAATTATCACCCCTCTGATGAGTAATTATCAGCCCTGCGGCTATACATCAGCGGGGGTGGCGCCGGCCGGGCGACTGCGCAGCCCTGGTTCGACAGTGATGCCCTGACGAAGATGTTAAGTCCACTTTGCATGCCGCATGTTGTGCGCCATATCAAGGGTCAGCGCCATCAAGCTGTCGCCATCCGGTCATACGCCCACTGTCTCTACTCTCTTGGCTTCTACTGTTGCGGAATGGCAGAGCGGGGTTCGATGGCCGGCCGGCTCGCTCTGTTCCTTCTCTGCAGTTGTGTCGCCTTATCTCTACTACTTGTCGACTGGCTCCTTTCGGTCACAATCCTTCCGTCATGCTCCGAATATCGCCAATGTTTGTCGCTTGACTGTTTCCTTGATAGTCGACCTGTCTGATTGTCAGTCGCTGCTGCGTTCACCTACATTCCTCTAATCTCGCCTTACACATGCGCGTCCATTGGCGTCACTTATATAAGTTCCATCAATGTCCCGTCACTTTTCGTCACCCAACAACACTGTCGTCACTTGACGTCGTCGATCGTCCAACTTCACTCGACTTCACTCGACGTTAGACGTGCACACTGCACAGCCGCCCGCGGAGTGAATACCATCAACGGCCGGCGCACTGAACCGTGCCGACAGCCAGTGATGGCCCCGTTAATGGCCGTCTAATTACACACATCGACAAATATTGGACTGATTAATGCTCAGGTAATGCGTGCTTCATGCTGCGGCCGGCGCGGCTTCGCCCGGGGCATAACTCGAGCAGAGCTGTCGGACGGACGGATGGACGGACCTCAGCGGCGCCCATTGGTGAGTCATTGGGGCGGGGATGGCGGCGGTGCGGACTCTCACAAGGGTCGGCTCCGGACAGCCGAGCTGCAGTGGCGTCAACTGTGAGATGGAGCCTGACGGACGCTTGTGGGTCAGTGATGCGTGCTAAGGGGAGCTATTGGTAGGCACATGAGGGCACTGTTCAGTTCCCATATCAGACCAGTGTTTCGTACCTATAAGAGGCTGCTTTTGCTGAAAATACCTATTGACGATAGAAGACCACATTTCTTACTGGAATGCTGGTTTGATTTTATTATGACAGAAAATAAACTAGGCGTATAGTTCTAATCTACGGATGTTCCTCAAGTCTCAAGCGTTGCGTGTCAAGCCCGTAATGACAAGCTTGGTAGCCTCTTTGAAGTTATAATTTCGAGTTTTAGACCCCAATATGACCAACTTAACCCGTCTATTTTAATTCCAGAAAACACGGACCTTCTCTTGTTACACTCAGGTGTATTCATGTTAATTTGTACCCATGGCAAATAACCGCACCTCGAACGCTAACGTTGATGTGTCTACGACTCATTTGTGATAATTTTACATCACCACACCCCCATAAACAAGCCTCAAGACAGAACATTATGGCACATTTACACGAAAGCGTCCGCAATGCAAGTCCCACCCTTACAAGCATCCAAATTGAAAAGCGTTGACCACACAAGTTTTCCACCCCCCGCACACAGTGCCATAGTTTTCCGAGCAGCAGCACAATCGCCTTCGTGAACGGTCACACGAAACCGACAACAAATCTCAACACTGGTGGCACACCCACCCTACATATCACAGATGGCGAGCCACGAGCATCTTGCGCTGCAGCGCTCTGCGGCTGCTGAGATTGAGACTCGATGTCTCGACCGGCGTACACCGACATAAGTAAAACAATGCAACACAAGAGCAGCGGGCCCGTTTGACACTTATCTTATTGTACTCGGCCCATCCCCTAGCACGTAAAATTAAGTGCGGACACTCATCGGAAATCAGGTGATAGGCAAGCGATAGTTTCGAGGAGTGAAAAGAAGAACGAAATAGTTGTTTACCCTTGGTTGGTTGGACAAATTCGCCCAAAGATTTGATGATTTTGATTCATACATCAAAACAGGAACAACAGTTAACAAATTGGCATAGCCTACGTAAATTATAAATCACAAGCCCCATGAAAATTATTGGTTTTCACCAGAAATCAAAGGCTCAACATCGGTGCGTTACCAAAACAAACGGAAGTCATATACTAAATGAGCCGCTCGACATGTGCTTCAGACGTCTCCACCGCTTACCCTCGGTCATTTATAGCTAACATTATACGAACAAACACTGAACAGTCTCATTCATGAGCCAGCCGGACATCTGTTTCCCATCATCGCTCCACTCCATTTGGTAAACAGCTCTCTCACACACATCACACATACATACACAGACACTAGCACACGCACTACGTATCGAGGATCACCTACGCGAGTGTTGAGCTTAGCCCTATCACTGTAATTTGCCCGCGCCGGACACCGCCTACACGCCATTATTGCCTGACATATGTCACCAAATTACCACTTACAATGACAAAGCATGGACACGCAATAGACACTTGAGTCCAGGCTGGCCCCACCACAGTGTGAAAATGACCTTGTCTGTGTGCTCACGCAAATGTTGCTGACCGCAGTTCACAGTCCACTGAATTGGTCGGTCCGACTCGAACGCAGCGACCGACCGTGCTCTAGCCGTGCTCTTGCCGTAGCGGGACCGTGCTGTGACGGTGAACGGCCCGTCTGGCGCGACGCCATGGATGGGTTCAGTGACGGTCCGAACTGTGACGTGACGATTTCGTGACGAAGGGCGTCGGTTAGGTGACATAGCTCCGACTTATGAGGTTATTGCCCTCGATCGAAGCGGTGCTGAAAAAAAAAATGTTGTTGTTAATTATAAGTCAGTGTCCATCTTTTTAGGGACACAACGAATTCACAGTCATTGGTGAGGAATTGGGAAGTTAGGCATTTGTTTTTAAAACACACGTTCATTTGAAGAAAAAACTTACATTTGTACACAAACAGTATACAACGTATATCAAAATTAATATGTTTTTTAAATGTATCTCTCATAGAATATTGCCAAATAATGAAAGACCGCCCATCCAGTCACTAAAATAACTAAAGTCAGCATCATACTCGTGTAATATTTTACATCACATTAAGACACATATCATCATAATGTGAGAGCCATTTTGACAAATGTGTCGTTCTCGCCCATTTCTATCATGCCAGTCACACTGTGCATCACGTATTTCTCACCAATTTCGTGACGCCTTGGCCTGGTGCGCTGACCGATGGTGGGTCATGAAGTCACGGGTCACGCCATCCCAGGTCACAGTTCACGCTGTCTCAGGTCACAGGTCACTGGCTCGCAGGGTTGATGGTGCGCGAAGATGGCTGCGTCCGGCCGCACCGCGCTGAAGACCGGAAAATCTGGGGACAATTGTTGCGGTTAGATATACCGTAATTTTCTTGCGCTATCTACAAGTTTCCGGTCTAGTCTGGTGGATTCAGCTTTGCCTCTTTTAGGGCTGGGGAAAGGGAAGAATCACGACCTAAATGAACGGAACAGACCCACATAACACAGATGTGCGTTCACACATGATTAGCTACATATGTTTCTGAATTCTGTCCAAAGGAGCCATGAGAGCGAGGCATCGGTTGTTTAGAAACTCATTGAAGCGTTCTCACATATTACTCGAGCATGAAAAAACACATCTGAGTTTGACATTTCTTGTAAGCCATGTGCGTTCGCAAGTGTCGCAAGTAACTCCGGTCGCTTTGTGCCACTGTCATGAACACCTGAATCGATGCTATACACCCATTCCCCGTCTACACCTGGCTTCGAGTCACCAGTCACGCTCCAACTCTACCGCATACACCCGTCTCTGTGACGGTCATTAGCGAAAACGTGTTTTTGTCCGATAGTACACGTGCAATTAGGGTTTATCCTCCACGAACAAGCAGCCAACAACGTCGCTTGCAGCCGGCCGAGCTGAATCCCCTGTCTAGCACCAGCCTCCAGCCTGGGACCACCGAGGGACTGACGGTCGCTGCATGCTCTCATCCGGACACTGCTGCGTACTGGTCGTCCGGTATTGCAGCCTGGGCGCTATCCTAGCGCGATCACACGGGACAATGTTTCCCGGAGTGTAATCAGATAAACGCTCCACGTGTAAAAAGCCGCAAAATGTGACAGCTCGCGCTGTTGTGGCTGACTGGTCCGCGACACGAGACAAACTCGGAGTCGTTAGCCGACTGATAGTGATGTACGCCCGTACATCGGAACGACAGGCGGCTGGTATCGCACGCCAATCTGGCCAAGTAATTGGCCGGATTAATTTCTGCAGGCAGCCAGGCTGCGTGGAGGGTGGGTGGTGTGGGAGGGACGGTGGGGTTCGGTGTGGTCCCCGATGTGGTCCAGTGTGGTCTGTGTGGTCTTCTCCCCCGAGAACGGCGGGATGTCTTACCTCAGTGGACGAGTCGGCCGACCCGAGGTCAGGTCAAGGTCAGGTCACACGGGCGGAGGCAGGCGGCCTGCCTCACACGGGAGACACGTACTCGGCAGGGGGTATGGAGGCCGAGCTGCCGCTGAAACGGGGCAAACACAGCCTGTTAGACTCAGGTCGAATCAGTTGAACGTTGAACACAGTAGAAAACGTCCTTCACCATTTATCAAGCCCTTCCTAAAAGCTTCAACTATGCCACAAACAAATCGTTAGGTGCGCCCACTCCCTTTAGTAGACACTCGACATCGTCTGACATTTGATCAGGTCACTGGGTACTTCCTAATCTCTCGAGGATTTCGTTAACAATGGGCGGATCACCCCATTTAGCTCATTTAACGCGACGAAGACAGTGCATCAGCGGGCCAGGTGCAGGATTGTGAAGGCAGCACTCAATCAAAAGCACACCTTCACCTCTTGCAGACTGTATTTTTGGGCACGCGTGACGTGAGTACTAAATCGAGCCTGTTAGCCCACGCTCAGCGTATCGCCTTTTTTCTCTGGCAGGCATTGAGTGATGTGTGGTGAAGTGAAGGAGCGGCTAGTGGGACTGGCCTCGGACACAACAGGAAGTGACCAGGAACCACTGTCTGCGGCTGCGTGGTCCGGCTCGACCCACAAGACCAGAAGAAAGATCTGGGTAAATATTCGCTGTCTGGCATACTTTGGAGCAGAGACGTAATTCTACCGGGCTTCGCCGCAAACCTCAGTTGATCCGGCCTACTCTGATCAGGAGCGAAGTATGGTTCATCAGGTTTCGCTACGAATCTCCATGTTGCCGGATTTCGCCGAGACTATGCGCTGTCCGACCTGGCCGGGAGCAGCTCAAGCTGTCTGGCCTGACGTCAGCTCTCCGTCTCCTCCAACTGCCCTGCCTCCTCTGCCCTGCCTAGTGCCTACTCCATCTGCCGAGCCTCCTCTGTCTACCGCGGCCGAAGCTGTCTCTGCGCTCTGTGATGGATGGCGACCCCGGTGCGGCTCGGCCGTCCGGCTGACCGCGGCTCAGACGCCTCACATGTCGTGTTTCATCATCGAGCGCCCGGCTGCACGCTGCAGAAGACGGCCCGACCCGGCGCGTCTCGGCTCAGTGTGTCCCTACCTCGACTGGTCCCGGCGTGCAGAAGGCAACGTGGAATCGGCAGAAGACGGAAATGGTGGAGGTTGAGATGACGTAGAAGCAGCTAGTGAGGGAGCTCGAGAGAATCGCTGCGTGCCGTGAGAACGGTGAAAGATGTACACGTAGATGGTGTAGGTGGACAAGGTGTCACTCGCTGAGCGGAAGGTGGTGTTCGCTAGTGATAACTGTCGCCGATGATTTATTGCAGGCCATAATTCTACAATCGTTTGCCGTCTATCAGCTGTCAGCCGTTCTCGGTAACCCACCACAGTCAACAGCTCCAGTCAACCGGCGCCGTCATCCACCACCAGCCACCTGTCACCCATCGTCTGCGGCTGCCCAGGCCGACTTCCCGGCAGGGCTGCTCAGGATAGATCGTCTCGATTGTATTAATGGCGCCGGCCGAGTGTTGACCGCCTCACTGCACGCCCGAGACGAGCGACCCCCCACCGCGCCGACCGCCGAGTTGGCCACGTGCTAAACAATCGCCTAATCGACTGATCCGGCTAACCACCCGCTGAACTGATGGGCTAATCCACCGACTCGCTGCACTAATCCACAGGCTCTCGTGGGTGATCCACGGCGATCAGTGGAGTGCCGGAATCGCCTGCGGTATCGGCATTGCCCAGAGGTGGCCACTTTGCACCGAATGAGCAATGACAGGCATCCAGATCCCAAACAATAACACACTTCAGTTCACGCTGATTAGGTGACGGGAGATTGGCTGGGCAAACATTCTCACACTCGATGTGTGCATTGGCGATGGCGCGACGTCGACGTTCCCAGATAAGTAGTTAGGAAGATCACGGATAATTGAATGCGTTTAGACCAGATCATTCAAAAAGACGACTTGATGAATCTAGAACGAGGACATACGTCTACCACCACGGCACAGAAGTGCGAGCCGGACCTTAGGCGCGGGTGGGTGACCTGGCAATCCCTTCCCATCAAGGTATGGGGTCCAAATGGTCACCAGAACCCTGACCTCATACCAGTAACGAGTGTCCAGTGAACGTCGCCGCGACCCCATCCCCGGCGACCCTGAGCGTGCCATGCAACTGCCCGGCATTGCACACGAGCGCGGCAATAAATCCTGCTCATTTGCAGCTTGGCTTGGTGCCACCAGAGACGACAAATAAGGCAGGCGGCCAGCGACGGCTCATGACAGCCAGGCGAGGTGTGCATACGGCAGCACACGAGCGAGTTTTAGGCAACAGGAAACGCCCATCACTCATCAGCACTGGTCAACGGAGGCCTGGGAGTTGCCCGATGAGTTACCAACGAGACCAGGCTGTCTGTCAAAGGCTGTTAAATTCCACCGGGAGTTGGGGCCTGCTGATCGCTATAAAACAGCCCAGCAACGGACAGTAACCAGGGGCGACGCTTCGTTGTCATGACAACAGCGATTGCAGGGTTCCGCAGCCGGCGCGATTTAGTTTGATAGGGAAGGTGTGGTCGACCTTACGGCTGGGTCGTAAACAGCATGACCTTCACCGATCCCAGTCTGAATATAACCAGATTTCCAGTCCGATCAACACATGCATTGAATGGCTACCCATTTGCACTGATGCAACTGTCTCGATGTCTCAGCTGATGCGTCTGGGCCGTCACTCGGACTTCCAGAATCGAGCTGGACACCTGTCCTTCGCAGGCTGGACATCGTCGTGTGGACGGCGCGCGACCCAGCTGGCACGCCGTGCGCCGCTGCTGACGGATGGCCCCATCTCAGCCGTGGCATAACTCGGCCGCCGAGGTGCGAACCAGACACAATCCGAGGAAATCGCAGCCGCTGACCGATGGCCGCACATTGGGGGCCTGCATTTTTAAGGCGCTGATATAGACATGTCTGGACAGCTCCCGGTCGGGGACTCGAGGAGCGGCGCCACACGAGGGAGTGTTTCAGCGCGTCCGCAGATGCGTCACCGACAGGTCGCGTGGGGCGCACTCGGAGCGGGTGCATTGTCTGTGCAGGACGCGTCAGATGGATCTGGAATCGGCTCACGATCGGCAGGGACTGCGGGCGCGAGGTCGGTGTCGCGAGTCGTTATCGATGCGACGCCGCGTGACAGGCGGGAGCGGTACATGATGAAGCTCTCTGATCTGATGAATGAGGATGTATAATCGCGGCATTGTTCCCAGAAGAGACGCTGCAGAAAAAGCCGCAGAGAGGACGGAGGACGAGATGGGGGAGCAGAGGCACAGATTCCGGACGTGGCTTGCTTGGAGAACACTGAACTGTAACTGATGGGGAATGAATGTCAACTCGTTACTGAGAAAACTATATGAGGAGTACTTACTCTTTGTATGCTGCTGCGTAGGAGTTCATATCTAGCGGCATTTGTTGATGCTGCTGCTGCTGGTGTTGATGTTGTTGTTGCTGCTGCTGCATGTGTGAGTGATGCTGTTGCTGGGCGGGCAGGTGGCCGGTCGAGTAGCCGTCCGTCCGCCGCTCCAGGCCGCTCGACAGCCGGCCTCCCGACGACATGGCCGCCGGGTAGCCGCCGTAGGCCAGCGAGCTGCCGCTGCCCATCTGCGAGAGCTTGGCCAGCCCGCCGCCGGCCAGCTGTCCCAGCTTCAGACTGGGCGGTGTCTGCGGCGGCGTGTCCGTCTGTGGCTCGCTGTAGCCGGCGGCCGACAGACCGGGCGGCGGCGGCGCCGCCATGCCGCCGTAGCCGCCCCCGCCCCCGCCCGAGGCCACGTAGCTGCCGCCGGCCGGGCTGTGGTGGTAGCCGGCCGCCGTGGACTGCGGCTGAGACTGCGACTGCGACTGGACGGCCTGCGCCTGAGACTGGGCCGCCTGCGCCTGCGAGTGACTCGGGTGCGAGTAACGTCCGAAGGGGGTGCCGCCGGGCCCGATGGTGGCCGGCAGCGGGAACGTGGTGGCCCCCTCACTGGCCGCCGGCCAGCCGCCCGCCGGCGGCGGCGTCTTGCACTTGGCTGTGTCGGCCAGCGACCAGATCTTGGGCTTCTGCGGGTCGTTGCAGTCGTCCAGGGAGGCGGCGGCGGCGGCGGCGGCTGCCTTTTCCTTCCAGCTGTCGGTGGGTGAGAGCGTCTCCGATTTGACCTCTGTCCCGGTCAGCGGCGACATGGCGTCCGAGGTGTCGTTGCCAAGCACAGAGTCTGGGAAAAGACGCAGGAGGCACATGTTAGCCCACAGAAAGGAAAAACGCTACGCTTCAACAACGATATAACTTCTCGGGTTAGCTCATTGGTCCAAACATCGCAAGGTTCAACGCAAGTGAACAATTAGCATACAGCAACGTTGATAATACGCAGGATCTCGAATCTCCACGTAGTTTAGCAAGTGAGTGCCGGACTTGTAACGTTTATTCTTTCCTCGCAATGAACATGACAGTGGTGCTAACAAAGGAATCTAGTGAGAATTCATGCTTACCTTTCTCTGCTTCATCTTTGTCTCCCTCACTTCTTTCTTTATCCTCTGATTTCCTTTCGTCATCATCTGACTCGGTCTTGTTCTTCGGTTCCCAAGTCATTTTGTTCTCCTTCTTCAGTCTTCTTCGCGCGTTGGCGAACCAGGTCGAGATCTGTGTCAGCGTCATCTTGGTGATGATGGCCAACATGATCTTCTCGCCCTTGGTCGGGTAGGGGTTCTTCTTGTGCTCGTTCATCCAGGCCTTCAGGGTTCCTGTAGACTCTCGGGTGGCGTTCTTCCTCCTCGCCGACAAATCATAGTGTCCTCCATACCTGCCGGAAAACGGTTAATCATTGGACGACAGAAAACATTCGCGATGAAAACCAGCGTGAAATTGAGCACGACATATCTCTCGTCGGGTCAGCGCCTCACGTCAGCGTATGGCTCCACCTGGCTCGCTGCAGGCATACCAGTGTGTCAGACACCATCTCTAGTCCAGTCAGCGGGAGGCTGAGCCCAGCAGATTCCCGGGGCGCGCCCCTACTGCCGACACCCAATCCCTGCTCGCCCGGGCCCTTCACTGGCTGCAGCCCGGACCCCCTGGCGTTCAGCTGTTCGGGCCAGCAGCCGGTGGCCAGCCGCGCTGGCAGCTCCCATCCTCCGGGGCGTAGATCAGCTCTGGGAGCCCGCTCGGCGTCCGGACGACCCCCGCCGTCCGTCACCTCTGCCTTATCTGTCCCCGACAGACTCCCGCTGGTTGGTTTATGCGCGTGCCGGACGGCGGCGACGTATCGCGCCGGATCAGTCTCAATTATAGCCCGTAAATCTGACCCGGGTCGCGGTGCGTCGCTTCTCGTCGCGTTCCGCGGCCACGCGCTGTGTCGTGTAGAATGTGCGGCTGGCGGGTTGAGCGCACCAGGCCGGGGACCGTCGGATACTCCGACCTACCCCGGCCCGCGGTAGGCCGAACTGGGATCCGAGATCCGAGATCCCCCGGCTGATTGGTGGTACAAGAATGTCCGGCTGGGAAGGAGTGGACCGCAGCAGGAGGTGGGTGACTGTGGGCTCGCTGTTCCTACTGTCAACGAGCGGGTACAATGACCGCCCTCCGGTCGCTGCCACTCGGGGAGGAACGAGAATGAGAGGCTTTGGCACCATCGCGTGCCTAAAGCGGCAATTACCTCACTCATCAGTCATGAGCTCGCTGCTCGGATCAATGATAATCTAGCTTGCCAGCGTAACAGAAAATCTGTTTGCACTGGAATCCAGTGAGTACGCATCAAAATTCGAAATGAATAAAAGCATTCCAATATCAACGGAAGTAATATCGAGCCAACGCATATTTTCAGCGACGACTTTTGATAAGTTGCAACGTTTTGGATATTACAGACAGGTATGGATGTTTCGAAGACACTGCTTGCATCATCTGCAAACTCACGCTCTAGTTAACGTTGATTTGGTGTCCCAAAACACACCCATGTCATCTGAACATGGTTGTGTGGATAAGTAGCCAAACGTCGGGTATTTCAAACAGACACACTGCTTCCGATGATGGCATGAGTGATTCCAGAGCCACCAGAGTTGTAATCAATAGCGTCATCAAATTTGGCAACATGAGATACTGTGTACAAATGTTTAGGCAATAATTCAAAAACAGGTCTCTCAGATCTTATCTTTTTATGACGTCATTGTCAAAATGCCTTTTAGCTGTGACTTCACATTGATTGAGCGAAGTCGTATCAAGTGATAAGTGATTTGCACAGGAAGATACCTATTCTGCTGAGAAATATATTAATAAGCTGTCACATAACTTCTCAAATCTTTCAATTAAAAAAGCAATGATATTGAAGACTTCGCATGGTTGTCTAAACGGCCTAGTGGTGACCCCAGAATAGCGCAGCACGCAACGCCATTCCTAATTCCCTAATTAAACCCTAATAAAATCAACATCAATTTCAAATCGACAGTAATTGAAATCAGTTGTTGTGTGGCTCTAATCGTGTTGTTGGCGTTTTTGCCGTGTAGTCTGTATCGCTGTCTCAACTCGTCAATGCTCGGAGTTCCGTGCCTGCCAGCCCCACCAACCAGTTCTGGCTCACATCAATCATTGGCATCTCAGGCACACGCACGGTCGACAGTTGTATCATTTAGCCGGACATAATCTGGATTTTATTGGTTCTATTAGGTCGCCCGTTGGCGCCTGTCTGTCGGCTGTTGGCTGGGAAAAACTGCTCCGGCCGGTCCATTGAGACGGGCCAGCGCCGGTAAAAACTGGGCCTTCAGGACCGGACCCGGGTGGCCGCCGCGTCTTCAGCTAGACTGTGGTAAAGGCGACTTCTGAAACTCTGAGGTGCAGTGACTGGAGTCTTCTCTAAAAAGGGGACTATTGACTATCGTGGTAACCAAGAACGCCTGCCATTCCAATGTTTCACGGATCTAAATATTGAGCGTTTCGTCCCTACCCGCAAACCGCACTACAGCCCACGCCTGGTTCGCATGATGGTCACGTCCCTTTAGGTCAAGACCTTTTGCTCACTGAATGTTTCTTACTAGTTACTATAGCTCCTCCCTTAACGACTCCGTGGCCCTGTGACTGACGTGACGTCATAATGTTTCTTTCTACCTCCCGGATCTATACCCATCACGTGCCATGTCACGGGTTGCTAGCTGCATGAGACAGGCTGCTGGCTGAGGTTGACAAACCTGTTTGCTAAGATGAGACGGTGGGGAGGTAAGAGTCGCACTGTATACTACATCTTCTACACCCCAGGTGATGCAGTTTTACGTCAATTAGCCTTCATTTGTTTATCACTCGATGAATACTTTGCTCGACAAGGGCTATACGTCCCTTTGAAGAGTGAATCAGATATGACAATTAGGGCTGCTCATTATTAGTTAGATTGACATAAGCTGGCATTGCTCACTGCTACCCGGTCGTGTAGTTCGCGAAAGAGTAGTCGTGATAAGGCAAAGACGTCACACACAGACCGCGTCATGCTCGCGAGCTTAGGTGACGAGCCCGCTTTCCTCCTACCCCTCGCTACCGAAACCTGATTTCATATCGCGCGGCAAAGCCGCATTGTGAAACGTTTTTGAGTCCTACTTCAACCGCATACATGTGTCGCCGACCTGTTTCGTAATTTTGATCCATTGTTGGCCAAAAAGGCAGCGTTTTCTCTCCTTCCCACCGTTTCACAAATCAGATAAGTCTCAACAGACACCTAGCTGCGCCCCATTACACATTTGCACAGCCACTCTACCGGCTGCCGCTACTGCTCGAACATCTATTCCCCAATTATTCTTCAAAACTACTGTAACTGCACATTTCGGACGACCTCGTGCGCCTGCCGAACCGGCTAATTTCACACCTAAGACCTCCATCCCGGCTCGCTCACCCCTTCCTCCGGCTCGTCCAATCGTGTCGGCGTGCGCCCGGGCCCGGTCGGCCGTCTCTCATGCTAGCCGGCCGTTTGCATGCTACCCGCCAATTACGCACCATTTGGTAGACATCGCTCAACGGCCATTGCCGGCCGGCGAACAAAACGGGCCGGCGGGCCGCGTCGGCCGGTCGGCAGCCATAGCTGTTTGGCCCCCGGGTAAGGGACCGGAGGGGACCCCCAGGCGGCAGAGGGGTGAGACAAACACAGACGACATGCACCGTGCACTTTGTAGTGTGCCAGAGAAGCATGTATGAATATTGTTAGAACGTAGTTTAACAAAGTGCAGGGAGATGCAAAGGCTAGATGCACGGTATCCACGACGATGTTGTGGAAGGGTCACCTTATGACTTTCAACACTCGGCATGAGGCACGAGTGTACACTGTGGTAGAAAATAAAACAAAATGGAATTTTTCCGTTTTTGCACTGATTTACTGCGAGGGTATTTTTCAATACACAAATCCGCTCGCATTGTTTATAATGAAGTCAAAACAACAGAAGTAATAACACCGATCGACCAGTATTTTTCTGTTTTTAATCGCTAGCCTAACCGACCTGGCCGGGAAGAGCAGTTCCTATGCCCTATAACGATGAAAAGCCACGTGTGTGGTAGACCTCAAAGACAGGAGCCGTTTCGCATAAGAAAAAAATCGAACGTCTTTCAGGGATTGATGGATAAAATTCATAATGAAACCGGACAACCTAATTGCCTCGAAAACAAGCTCACACACCGGCGCTTTTGTTTACATGCATCACTAATCATCATTAGCTCATGAGTGATCTGGATAATTAACGACTCTGTGTCTTGTTTTCCAACATGAAAGCAGATCCCACGGTTTTCACGGTAGCCGGAACAAAACCACAGCGAATGAGCACTAAACAGCCACAAAAGCGTTTCCTGTTAAAGTTCCCTCCCGCGAGTTGTGCTAAATAGCTCGGGAATTAATCTAAACGACTGGCTCCCTAAGCGCTAAATTGGGGAGATGTGACGCCATCCAGCGTCACCGCCGCGCGTTCTCAGTCTGACAGAGCAGTAGGGCCAGCCACGTCTGTTCATTAAGGCAGCGAGCTGCCAGTCGCGACCGAGGGGAGACGTATTAATTAAGGCCGGTCTCGGGACAGAAACAGAGGAGAGATGCGGGCGAGAGGAGGGGAGCGCTAAGCTGCGTGGAGGGACGGGGAGAAACTGGGGCGCAGTGGGTCACAGTGGGGTACGACAGGTCACAGACGGTCACAAAGGGTCATAGCTGGCACGGTAGGTCACAGCGGGTCACAAAGGGTCATAGCGGGTCAAAGTATGTAAGAAATTCTACAGTGTGTGATGACGGTATGGAGGAAGAAACATGCAGAGTAGATTTCAAGCAAACGACAGATGCTAAAATAAACACCGACGCTACGAAATATAGCAGGCGGTATAAGATTAAATTTAGGTAAGGAAAAAGAGGAAAGGACGTGGGTGACCAGTGATCACTGATCAGTGATCATGTTTTAAGGTATAAAATAAAACTCAAATAAAATCGCAAAGCCGCAGGGCAGTGAACCAAAGAGCTAAGTGCTTAAAAATTATTTGGAAATAGAAAGAAAATAAAGGGTGGTGATGAAACAGGCAGTCGGAACTACAAAAGACACGATTTGTTTTAGAATAAGGGCAGCGGCCAGCGCTGTCTTCACTACCATTGCCTCCTATTATAAATTTCGAAATGCATTATTGGTAACAGTGTTACTTCTAGTTGTAAATTTGCATTAGTACCGTTTATGTTTTTATTATGACTTCCCAAATTGCCGTTCCTGTCATTTGGCAACACTTTGCTCGTGGAAAATAACACTTCCACATCCAAGCTGGCCTGCAATTATGGGGAAGAACGGTGGCAACTTTGTGCAATTATAGACAGCGTCGACGATGCTTAATCACAACATTCGACGGCTATTCAGACACGCAATGTGTCTGATTTATTGAAAGGACGTATTAGTGAGCGAACATTGCTTTCTTTGTAGTTATATTATTATATTTAAATGAATAACCCATTTACGCCCTTCGTTGCGTTTTCGCAACGCAAGCAAGCGTCGACGTGATCGAAGCTTGAGAAGTGTGTAAAAGAGACTAACCGATGAGACAAGTTTCAGCGTGTGTAGCATGGTTGTGCGCATGATACTACGCAGTTACAACTCTGTGCGGCCGGTAAGTTACTGCCTAGAGCTCCCAGAGGGAAGTCGAAGGTTTTGTGAGTGATGACGTCACAAAAACCAAGATAAGTAGGCTAAGTGCTTAATAATATCGTAATGAAAATTGTGTAAACATATTCTGCAGAGTCCCTACAATAGCGTAGATATGCATTTTGTTAAGAAATAATGCTACAAAAAGGGTTTGTGACTATTTTCAAATATGACTACGGTCGCGTTGCGGGAACGCAACGAAGGACACATCGGAAAGACAGCGGTGTTGCGAAAACGCAACGATGGGCACATTGGCAGGGTAGCGGAAGCATGAATATCAACAGTAGACTTCACTCGTGATACGCTGTGGGTTCTCTCTTTCTCTCCCCCATCTTCCTCCCTCTCCTCCTCGTTCCCCAACTCTCTCCCCCTCTCTCTCTCTCTTTCTCTCTCTCTCTTTCTTTCTCTCTCTCATTTTGTAGCCATGAGGCTGTAGCGGCGGAACATCTTCAATTAAGGGGGGGGGGAGCACTGCTGACTTTTGGTCTCATTCTTTTCATTTCCATTTCCATGCAACGCCTATCGGGATAATGTTAAAATGGCAAAATCAAGGGGGCACGGTGCCCCGGTGCCCCCTCCCCCCGCTCCGCCGCCTATGCCATGAGGGACGTATATAGGTATGTTTAGTGCAAGGTGCGTTCGCACGTAAAATGTTGCGACACATTTCATATTTGCTGGCTCAAACAGCCACAAACACTCCTTTCTTTTTCTCTCGCAGATTTTCGGCCTCGGGCTGTTCGTTCACTAAGCAATGTGTTCCCATGCATCTGAAAATCGCATGGTAGGAAAAGGACCCATTAGAGTTCTGCACGGCTGCAATTTTCCACAGCCTAGCCGCCCCACAGCCGTGGCTCCACAGCCACAGCCGCCCACAGCCGTGGCAAACTGTGGGCAGCCAGCCGTCAGCCGGCCGTGGATACTGTCAATGAAATGCAACCAAATAGTATATAAGTTGTTTTTAGTTGAAACATATAGCCAAAAGCACATTGCAATGGGCTATAGATTCTCAAGCTCATGAAGCATCATAGGTTAAGTGGTTGTGTATCTGGCTTTAGGCCGAAGTCCTGAAGCCTGATGCGCAACACATGCCTACACAAGCCCTTGCAAGGGGTTAAAAAAGATGGGTAGGTTAGTACCTACATCAACAGAAAACATAAACAACGAACCGGAATAGAAGCATTAGCAATGTAGACATCTAATGCCAAATCCTGAAGCATGGTTGTGGGACAGAGCAACAGACCCTGATGCTTTTCATTATCAATGTTAGGTATGGAAAATGAAACTGAAGTTGATAGACTGTCAAACAGTGATTGTCTAGTCAAAACTCCTGCTTCTTTCTTACCTTGCATATTTTCTGGGGTGTGATATGCCAGGCTCGAACTCGAAGCAGCCTTCTGAGCAAGTCTCAAACTTATATACGGCCTTGGTCTCAAACTAATTTGATATGCAAGGCATCAAAACACTATTGAGAATTCAAGAAAGAAAAACATTCATCTATTTTGATTTTTCCAAATAATGATCTTCGCTCAAATCCCCAAGGCCGTGCGAGCCACAATTGCCTCTTTCAATCAAAAATTTTACTTGAGTTTTTAATGACGTCAATAGCAAAGAAGTGGCAATAAATTGTTTTGTGTCACTATAAACAGCCATAAAAATTATAATTAATAAATAATAATACTATACAGTTATAAACTTGCTCTAAAACAAAGATTAAGTATCAAACTTCTACATTTTCAGAAGAAGACGTCATTTTATTAGTAAAGTCAACAGCTTGCGTAAGAAATATTGTGTTCAGGGGTTTCACCGTTATGTGAATTACGTGTTCAGGGTTTTCACCATCATGTGAATTAACCGTAAGTAAGGTTCATGCTCACTTATAATCTAATTCCATTGGCTTCGTTGATCAGCATTTTCTGTTAGCGGTCACTCACACACCAGTTAGAACATAAAGCGCCAGTTTTATATTATGTAATTGGACTTGCCGAAAATCCAGAAATACATCTAAGAGTTATTTTAGATAATATTTTATTAAGCCTTTACCTGTTTTACCTAGGCCTGATTTCTTTTTCTATCACCTGAAAGAATTATTGAACGCAAGTCTTCAATAGCTGTAAGGTGCTCTCCTAATGACCAGGTGATGAGGTGAGATTGATTTCAGAGGGATGTGACAATGTAATATGTTGCATTTTCTGAAACTGTCAAGCTCTTGATGATGAAGGAACAATTGGTACCTATAATTAGTATTCTATACCAGAGTGCAAACTCCCTTACAGCAAATGGTAAAAACATTACAGGTTTTCAAAGGCTTCACCACTTTCAATGCTGCTGGGCATCCTTTGCATGATTTTTACAGGCTAGACTGCTTATCAGAATGTAAGATTAAGGATTTAAAATTTTATATTTGAGTACTTAAGATTGAGCTTGAAATCTCACAGCCGTGGCCATAGCCGTAGCCGTGTTCTTGGAGATATTTGCAGCCGCCCCGGCCCACAGCCGTGGGGCTGCAGCCAGCCGCGGCTGCAGCCGGCCGGTGCAGACCTCTGGGACCCATGCATCAAACGGTCGGCGATGCTAACGGAGCTGAGAGATAATTAGGTCCTTTGGAAATTGGATCTACTATGTACATTGTGCATAAATAATGAATAACGGGGATGTATTCTGGTATCAGGCGACAGATAGGCATCGCCATTCTCTGGATAGAATCTGCTGACTACCAGCATTTACGTTAGAAAAGATAACTGAGGGTCGGCAAATAGTGGGATAGGCCCCCTCTGAGGGTAGCTGAGCCCTTCGGCAGGGGTAATGAGGGCGGACCCATGGGAAAATAATAATTTTTAGGATTCATAACTCGCATAGATTTATAAGCTGCTTGATGTGGAGTATACGCCTGTTTTCTTACTTTGATAGGCTTTTTATCTAATCAGACCATTTTTAGAGCTAGCAGGATTATTGGAATTAGGGGAGACATTTGTCTGACCGGACACGGTCAATCGTAGACTGGAGACTGAGCCCAGCCAGTGGGCAGCCGCCACCCATGACCCACCCCCTTCCCCCCTCCCAAGCACTCACTGCACCCGGCTACAGGCGCGCTCCTATGTGAGCTGCCCGACTGCGATATACCTTGCCGGTCCAGCCCGGAACAGGGGGATGAGGCGTGGAGGAGGATTCAACTATCCTGAAGATGGAAAGGACGGATTGACGTCGAATCACCATTCTGTCCTGGCATTGTCTCGAGAAAGAGGTTACACGTGAAGGTCGCTGAGAGTGGGGCCATGAAAATTTTGGATTAGGTGTAAACATGATAAACTGGGAGTCGATTTGTTGTGATGCGCTACGCCTTACGCGGGTAATTTGTTAGAGCCGGATCGGTCCTTTTTTCTTTTTGCTGAGAGTGGGTACGACTAACCTGCAATGGAATTTACTTTACTCCTAGGAGGGTGGTTAAAAATGATTGCGGATATACGCGCATACGAGAGGCACTGGTTTACTCCCAATCCTCCGTTTAATTGTATTCAGTGTGCACTGTGCAGGGTCTGATAGGTGGAGGTAATGGATCTGTCTAGCTTCCAAAAAGAAAGCATCACCCTGGATACGTGTCGACCACAACTTTAAATGAACAGCAATGGACAACGTAAATGGTTGATAATGACCGTGTTGCCATCTCCCCGTTCGCGAATCATGAAGTTATGCTTCCTCACTGAGGCTCTTAGGCGGGTTATAGAGCATGACGGATGTGGGTTCCGCATTTTCAAGCAATAGTTGTCAACAGTTGATTGATGTTTTGTCAAAACATATTAGCATATACGGCAGTTCAGTGTACTTTATGTCCGTCTGATGTGCCCGTCGTTGCGTTTTCGCAACGCTGATGGCGCCCGGTGTGCCCTTCGTTGCGATTTCGCAACGCATGTTTTTTACGTTTTTCTCGAGAAACTTTTGCTGCAGGCAAAAATTATTTTCGATTCCATACAAGGCCCTGGTAGGAGCATAACATATTTTGATTTCGTCGATTTTCATGATGGTCAATATTCCTGGGCATAAATGGGATAATATAAGTGAGAAGTAGATGCACCATGCAATGCGACTCTGCATGTCATTTGCCCTTTTGTTGTGTGTTAGAGAGTAGGCAAAGAACAATTGTTTCTTTTGCATCTGCATAAAAGATTTATGACCGATAGTAGTTGATCTCTTTATGCTCTTGACACAGGGGCTTAGGTTTTAAACACTCACGCAAACAGCTCTCACGTAACACATCGAGACGGCTTCTTACATGATTTATGACCTGACAATTCTCGGAACGAATTTCCCCCCGTTCAATGGCTCACACCTCATGCTACCTCATGCTAGAAAGACTGCACATTACTATAGATGAGAATATCGGACGCTGGGCGTATGATATAAAACCGAATTTACAACGCACCAAGTGTCTGCTTATTGTAACTTACCCGTAAGGGTCGTAAGGGCTATATCCGTAGCCAGCTGTGCTGCCCAGGCCGCCGTAAACGCCCATGTCGGTGCCGGGCGTGTCCTTCAGGCCATACGGGGCGTTCTGCGGATCAGGGGTAGTCGGCGGCTGTCAGTCATGTGTCAAACGGGATAAAGAGCGGATACTATGCTCACACTCCGCCCACACGTCTAGCCACCGTTTAGCCGAGCTCAAATAGCTGGGACTTACGCAGAGTTTATGTTGATCAGAAAGGAACACAAGTAGGGTCTGAGTGGCTGTTGATGGTCGGGTTTATGGCACAGAAGTCACTCTCAGCTTCATTTGTTCTGAAGGAGGTGGGCTGTGTATTTGACATTGTAACGGTAGCTGGGACATAAAACCGCCACTCACTGGTAATATGTTTCAATGAGCTGGAGACCTATTTTCGCTGTTGTTAGGTGGTCACCGGATGATTATGGTTGCATTTTCTTTGAAAATTCGTCCCCCGGGAGAGCCGTGTTCACAACATCACACCACCATACACCAAAGACAAGCATACATTTCGCGAAAAGTAGGTATGTTCATGACTGCCTCATCTTCATGAACACTGAATCGCCTTTCACAAGTCCAGTCGCCTGAGACCTCTCCCTTTTTATGCCGAGACCCCTCGGCTCGGCCCAACGTTCGGCTCTGGCCTGCTGGAGCCGGACGCATTTTATAGCCTATTACCATTAGTTTTATTAGCGTGCTTGTCATAGCTTCTGAACGGAGCGCGTTCCAAACGGGACGGCAGCGAGACGGGCTTTTTATGGACGACTCACGACTATGAACCACTTTCAAGGACGCATTAGCGAAAACGCTCCCTTTCGTTAGAGGCACGCAGAGGGGATCGATAGTCAAATAAAAGTGCCTCCGAAAACGGCAATTTTGACTTTCACAAACGTCATTCGATTGAGACTAGAATCTATCCGCTAATGGTAAACATTGAACGGAGAGTTTCGCTGGTAAGGTAAGGCAGAGATAAATTTCAGGCATTATTATTTGGTGAAATTCGACAGAAGAGTGCAGAAAAGCATCACATCATGCAGATATGCGCCAGGTAGTCTGTAACGCATTGCCGATTCGCACTTAATTCTGTAGGTAGATGATATCCAATCCTCCAATCTATAACTCAACGGTCAACGCACAAGCCATTACCATGTTTTCACCCGTGTCCCAAAGTGCGTCGTATTCCGACGTCACCGTGCGTTGTTCAGGTGCACCCTGGCTGCCGGGTCGATAGCCCCACAGCTAACCCACCACAACCCTATCGTGAGCTGGGCACGTACCGACGCGCCGATGGGCCGTCCAGTCCCACGGACGGCCGCCCTATGTCGTTCACAGACGTCCACGGCACGTAATGTCCGTAATATTGACCGTAACGCGGCCGTACCGTCAGGTAATGGTGATTTAGACTGACTTCACTCATTGCTCGACTAAATGAATGGCTATGGATATTGATATTTAGGTCTAATGAAGAGCAGTCACTAGGGCTGTAAGATTGCTGTAACGGTTATGATAATCAGCGTGATTTATTGGTGGGGCATTGTTTTAAACGTCGCGTCGCTATTTAACTACCCAAACAAACAATGAACGTTTATGTTATGGCTTATTCGGTCGTATCATCTAGCCGTTATGTTGATATTAGCGTAATGGGACCAAAATCATCGCTCATCAAACTAAACATATTCACAATTTCTTATCAGCGGTCAGCGCTTCCTGCTTGCAATTATATCCACTTTCTATACGTGGTTAATTATAGCATGGATAAATAACATGAATTAATGTATCTATTTTGTTTCTTATCCTTGAGAGACATTGAGAGAAGACCACGGAGCAGGCGAAGTTCAACTAAGGTCTTTGACGATATAACTTATCTACTGCAGGACTGAAATGAAAAAGAATTAAGACATACACGAGCAAAAATTACTATTCATTTATTCGTTCAAAAACATCTACAATCCAGCGATAATGAACAACATCCTGTCAAAGGTAAACTCACTTTACTGAAAATGAGAAAGTCACTTTCCCAAAGATTATGTGACAGGTTGAAAACTCGCACGTTTAACACCTCCATCAAATGCCATAAAAGCCAACGGGGCCGAAACGGCAGTGTTTTAGCTGCTGGCACAACTGCCAACACAGAGCTCAAGTCGCGCCACCCCCGCGCCGAAGCGATGCCGTGAACTCCGACCCGGCGCTCTTTTGGCACCGGGTGTAACTCCACTGGTTTGTGTAACCCTCCGACGCAGGGGGTGGCAATCACGGCCTCACGGAACAAGACATAGAACCAATCTAGACCGGCATGGGAGCCATGTTGCCAAAGCGCTGCTCAGAGACAGTTGTGGCGCAACAGAGACAAATGACTCAAGTTTCGTTTCTCCACCACGCCACCCCCACCGCCGCAGCCATCCAACCCTGCCGTGTTTTGACAAATGATTCATGGCAGTCCCGCTGAGAGCTACTGCTCGATGAACCGATCATCGGTTTTGAACGCAGCGGGTGGCGCTGAATCACAATAATTCATCACCGTCATTATCATTCAATAAAGTCATCCGCGCTCAATCGATCACCCGGGCTCCCGACGGTGTTGTGTGCTTTCCGCTAATTCTCATGCAAAACGGTCGGCCTCGTTGGTGCCGCCCCAGTGCGCGGTGGCTCGGCGGGAACCCGCTCTGAAACATATCGATTTCCCGACACCGCCCCGCGAGCCGCCGCGCCGCCGCCGCCGCCGCCGCCGACCGGGGGAGGGCACGGCGGCGGCGGCGGCGGCGGCGGCGGCGGCGAGTCCGGCCGGCGGCCGACTGCTGGCGCCACTCGAAATTATTTGTGTGTCAAGTTACGGCAGGGGCGGTCGGTAATTCATTCCGCCCTCGAGGACGGACGGGGGAGGACACCTCCTGCGGGAGGACAGCTGAGAGGACGACGTCAGGGAGGGGGGGGGGTGAGGGAGACTGCTCAGAGGGACCGGGACGTGGTCAGATCGGCTTAGCGCCTCTTGAAGCGGATCTGTCAGGCCCTGCCCAGGATCGGCTGTAGCCGTCGGAGCTATTCGTAAGGAACGGATCTGTCGGGAGGATGTCGCAAACAAAAATTGCTCGGAGGCACTGATTCCCAGTCACGTCTGCCTTTTTCTCCTCACCCTCGCATCCTTCCATCTTCCTTGCATCCTTACTTGCATTCTTCGTCGTCAACTCATTGCCCTTTTACTCCTTTCCTATCGCAACTCCGCTTCTTCTAGCTAATGGTCCAAATAAATTCTTCATTCGTATCACTCGTAATAATTTCGCTTACTTTTGCCTACAGGTCTCGTCCATTCGCTCTTCTCTTATCTTTTCCCTCTTCTCATTTCTCATCCCATCTTTCTTCCTCCACCAGCATCCTCTCTAGAGCACTTCATGGGCCGGATAAATCCGTTATCCACGGATAAATCCGCGGACCGGATAGGATTGGATTCTAAATTTGTTAAAAAAGAACGGATATGGGCGGGCCGGATTTGGGAATTGAAGGTTGAACCCGGATCAAAATGGATCAAAATTTTAACATTCAACATTGAAGTTAAAAATTAACCTAATGTGTTAAGCGGCAGGATGATACCTAGTTTACCAATGTGGTGATTTTTATGTGGTTTTAGGTTTATAAGCATGTTTTTTGGAACCATGATGGTCTGTGAGATGTATGGCTGTCTGGTCCCTTAGAATGAATTTGTTAGTCCAGTGTTGGGTGAAACCAGTTATTGGTGAAACGGATTATTACGGATATTTTTTGGAAGTTTGGCTGCAAATACGGGCCATGGGTGGGCCGGATTCTGATATTCAAAGAAAGGCGGATAATGGGCGGATCTGGATATGACTTGCCGGATATGGGCCGGGCCGGATCCTAAAAAGCCTATCCGTGAAGTGCTCTAATCCTCTCCTCCCATCCCCTGTTCTCCGTCCGCTGAGGCCCACTCGAATCAGGCGACGGGGCGGCGCCGGGACGGATTTGTCCCTCGCGCGGCCACCGGTCAGTGGCAGCTGCAGGGGCCACGCTCGGATGAGAGCTGAGGACCAGCCTCACACACACAGATCGGCAAAAACGCGACGGCCGCGACGATAAGAGGCGACGTGCGGGCGACGACCAACGTGGGGAGTCGCGAGAGGCCGTGGAAACGCAGGCTGGCTGGGAGGATGTGTGCATCAGACGGCCAAAATGTTGGCGGATGAAGCGAGAAATGGAAGCGAGGAATTGGAGGTTTGTTGACGGATGCCCGAGCTCGACAGTGTACACATCTGGTAGAGGGAAAATGTAATATGTATGTTCTTAGACAATATTCGTTAAAATAGCCCAAATACCTAAGGAACAATGACGACGACAATAATTTTATAAGTCTCTGAGGAGGATCCTCATTCCTCACGGAACTGAACCATTTGAAAGAACTTCATATTAACCACAATTTTACATTTGGCCCGAGTGGGCCAGTGTGTCACTAGACGGATAAACATTCAATGGAGGAATTGTTGTAACAACTCATCCCACGCTCGACCTCATCAGTTCTAGCTTATCACGTGGTCGAGTCTCTCACTTACTTGTCAGCATGGGCTAGCCACTCCCCGGGTTCTAACACCCACCGGCGCAAAGCCCGGCGTCACAGCCTCACCTACACGAATCCCTGCAGGTGTCAGTCCCATCCATCTGCCTTCCCCAGTGGGTCACACTCCCCGCAGGCCCCCTGTCCCGTGTGTTCCACTCCCCGCGGCGCCCTCCAGTTCCCCGGTACCGAGTTCTGCGGCCCACAGCGGACCCGTGCGCCAGCCGCGCCTAATGGAAAAGACGTGTAGTCGGAACACGGCTGCGGGGAGCTCGCTGGGCAGCTCATCCATCGAGTGGTGGCCAATAATTACCGTCCCAGTGGCTGGGACGACACGGGTGTGACGGGACGGCCCACCGGCCCACCGGCGCGGGGTGGGCACTGTGTGGAGGTGGTGTTGGTGGTGGTGGTGGTAAGGTCACCGAGTGACCGGGTAGTGCGGTGACCCGGGACTGTCCGTGTCGGTAAATGCAGTGACCCGGTGACCGAGTGATGCAGCCATCGACGCCCAATGACCTGGTGACGGTCCGGCGACGGGTTGTTCAGTGACCAGTGACGTAGGAGCACTGACCAGTGACGGAGGAGCAGTGACCAGTGACGGAAGGGCAGTGACCGGTTGAACGGTAACGCGGGACAATGCATTGTGCATTGCAATGCACTGGTACGGTGGCCGGTATTGTGGCGCGGTGACCCAAGACCGGTGTTGATAAGCAAAGGACGGCCACAAAAGCCTGCCAGATGTCCACGCAAGGATCAGTCTGATCGCACTGGAACTGGCAGACCCGCGTAGCAACTCTGGTGTGGCCATTTATCAAAACCGGTATTGCACGGTGTCAGAAGGAAGGTGATAAGTAGTAACCATCCCTTCGCAAATGCGCAAAAATAATCTGCAACATAATGTGCAAGACAAAGTACTGTCACAAGTGGTCTGCGTGTAAGGATTTGTGAAGAGCTCCAAGTGTGACAAATACAGGTCAGTGATCACAAGTCTTCTAATGAGCCAGGAAGATCTATTGCTAACAGCGTATTGCAATGTTTGGACGTTGATCTTTTGCGGCAGTCTTCGACGGTCAATCGTTAGTCTCGGTCGGGGAAGTCGGCACTCACCAGTGAGCTGAAGTAGGAGCTGTCCACGCCGATGCTGGGGTAGGGTCCCTGGTCGGTGCCCGAATAGGCCGCTCCGTACGGCAGTGAGGAGCCAGCCGGCAGGCGGGGGTACGAATTGAGCGCCGCCAGCCGACTCGACTCGTACTGACACGAGCAGACGGGCTGACCGGTCACCGGGTCGGCCACCAGCCGGCCCGTCTCGCAGCAGCCCGAGCCGGAGCCGCCGCCGCCGCCGGCCACCGTCGCCGTCGGCTGGCTGCCCGGCATCAGCAGCTGTCGGGGATGGACAACACGGGTCAGAGAGATGCACAAAAAAGGCAAATTATAGTTAAGTTCTGACAGCGAAGGCCTCCCAAACCTTGGTACGAATCAAGCCTATTGGATTAGCACGCCGCACGAATCCAGTGAGAAAAACAGGCCGTAGAAAGTCATCCGATAAAGCTTACTATGATACAGTCCAGCCTCGCCACCTAATAGTCATCGTAGACCATTGAAAACTGGTGACTCAGTGGAAAGATGCGATAAAAATTTACCTCTTGCAGCAAAGTCAGAAGCACCCACACCACGGTCTGGGCAATCTCTCTCGCTCTCCCACAGCACGCGGCTCGCTTGCTCCGCGCATCACGGCGCAGGTGAGCTCTTATATAGACACTAATGCACAAGGTTCGTAGAAATGGCAACATTCCAAAGTATGACTGTCATTTTCTTTTGACCGCCGTATCATGTCACACAATGGAGAGATCATGCCGCCCACTCTGATCCTTATCGGTTCATTGTGGCGACCATTCATTTCACGTCAGTGCCCGTAATGAAGACGCCATAGATATTATCGGCCCAGTCGTTATGGACTTGAGGAAGGCGGTCCGCTGGGCCCGCTAAAGCCGTTACCGCTCCGTTTAGCCCGTCCTGTCACCGGAATGCGCTTTTAATCCGAAAATCTGTGTGTTTGAATGCAGCAAATGAATATAATGCGTTTGAACTGCTACTTTCAACAGCAACAGCAACAGAATGACACTGGATACCGGGATTCGATAGCTAATTGGGACTTGGAAGCGGGAGAATAAAGCGTCTTATCCCATTTTTTTCCGATAAATTGCAGTTGTTGTGAAGCACTTTACTCTACCGATAATATACCAAAACTTGTTAAATACGTAATTTGTTAGGTACTTCTCTCTTATGTGGTTCACAAAGACAGTGAAAAAATTAACGATAGTTTTTCGCATTATCCTGCATGTCTCCAAATAAAATCAAATAGGCGTGAAAAACGGAACACCCCTATATTTAAGAAATTCATAACGTGAAAATATGCCTTATGAAAGTGACCAAATGGAACTAAAAAATAGAATAGTTATACGATAAACAATAATAATAGCATTCAATCAAATGGTAGAACAAGTTATTAACAAACCGCCGATGTTTCTAGTGAATCGAAGCACCGTTTGGAGCATGTGCTCAGTTCGCTCCACTCCCGTGCTTACCTGCGACGCGGCCGTAGCGTACGGATACCCAAACTGCGCATAGCCTGCCATCGTGGCTAGGCGGAACTCCAGGTTAGGTCAGATCAGCTCAGGTCACGACAGTCCAGGTTCACGTATCTCTCTCCCTCTCTCTCCGTGCGGCACAGTGCGCAGCGACGGCGGCCGGTCGCCGGGTCGCTCGCCCTCTCTCGCTCTCCCACAGCACGCGGCTCGCCCGCTCCGCGCAGCACGGCAACTGGCGCCCGCCGGCCGGCCGGGCGGCGAGCGGCGCCGGGGGCGGAGCCTCACGCCGCGCCAGCCAATCGGCGGCCGTTCCCAGGCCGGGTCCCGCCCACCGCCATTGTGGCCGGGGCTGGAATTAGTCTGAACATTTGCTGACTCGCCTGCTAGCCACACCCAAACCAGGGAAAGAAAAATAGTACCAGAACGGACAGTTGGGTTTACAGGCATTAACATTCTACTAAACCAGTGAGTTATGGCTGAAAATGCAATAAATCATGTCGCAGAGAAAGAGCGGTGTAAAAACGAGTGACTCCATGTAAAAATGGTGTCGGACATAAGTAAACAGGCCAGAATGCATATTCACGCCGTGTAGACTTGGAGAGGACAACGAAACAACGTTCAAATGTCTACCACCAATCGACACACAAATAACTCGACAACTACCAACCAACAGCCGTTTACACTGGTATCGGTTTAGTGATAAACGACTTGGGAGGTAGTTGAAATTAGAACTGGCAGCCCAGCCTCGTTTACAGGGGCGAGAGGCGCACTCATGACAGACTCACTGTTTTAACTACAAATACTTAAACGGTTCTTAGCTTGTACATGACTGTTAACATTGTTTTTCATTTGCCTAATCGGTACATTGGATGGGTACCGATTAGGAGGTGAAAGCACTGGCTAGCACACTGTAATGTGTGTAATGGCGTGGCTCAAAGTTGCAGTTAGTGATTATCTAGAATGGTTTATGGTCTTCAGTCAGTGGCGATTCTTCAACAAGGCTGTTTGACAGCTGGAGTTCGGCAACGATGGTGGTGGTGGTGGTGGCATAGAAGGCCTGTTCACTTCTCGTTTAGTTTTGAGGGCTACTGTGAGGTTTTCTTTCAGCTATTCAAAGTTTGAATACACTGCTCGAAAACTTTTATACGATGCATAGGTCACTGTGCATTTACTTCTTCAGAAACCAAATCTTTCGGAGTTACTAAAAGTTACGGTAAAAGTATGATTATATCGGCGAAATTGAGCTGCATATAGCAAACAATTAACTATAAACAAAATTCGGGCTTATTTGGGTCTGTAGAACACTTTGCTGACAAACAGTCCCAGCGCCAAGGAAGGTAAGACAGCCTGAATGACTCGGGCCAACAACTCCGGCCTTCCCACCCCACAGCCCATGGCTGGCTAGTGGCTATATCACCACTCACCAGTGATATACGGCCGCTGTTTATAATAAAACACTCCGGCGACGACAGGAGCGCGTGTCACCAAGGACGTCCAAGGACGGCCTTGGTGACACGTGTCACAATCAGCGGTCTTCACGACGGAGAGACAGGGGTGATCACGTGACACAGGCGGAGACAGTAATCCTCTCCTAATAGGAGCCTCATCCGGCGCCGAAAGCGCGACCAGTCAGAGAGCGTCGGCCACAGCCATTTCCGGGCCCCTGCCTGACACAACGTCAGTACCCGCTGCTTAGATGTTTGTCTTAGATGTTTGAGACATAGATATTCAAAATTCATCTAATATGGGACCAAGTATTAAGCAACAATTTATCAGGCTTAATAGGGTTTTCTGAAAAGGGTTAACCTTGTACGGAAATTGTAAAATGTAAGACTGAATAGTTGAATACCATTTGCAAAATCTGTCTTCTAAAGACAAACGTGTTGCTTTCCATAGAGAGCTTTGATTATATGTAAAATGGTACTTACCTTTCTGGTGTATGTGCTTCAAGAGCAACAACAAAACAACTCATTAAACAGCTGTTGTGGCCACCATCAGACGGCTTCGAGCCATAATTACCGAAGTTAATTGCCGTTTGTGCAGCCAAATAGAAGTGCATGCCAGTATTATTAGGACATAATCAACGGCGTGTGCTTGGTATCATCCAGGTGGTCGGATTTTACACATGACCTTCATAAATCAGCCTGCATATTCATCGTAGAAGTATATGTGATAATTTCCAGTAACCACTACTGTTGTAAATATGGTAAGGACTGGTTGGTATATTGGACAAATACGACCTTCGTCCGGTCCAGCAGCTGTGTGGAAATACACATAATGAGAAAATCACTGTATTTTTCGACCCTACCTAGATAAAATCGAAAATGTTGTGGATAGATTTCCCCTTCACAATCAAAGTGCTCTCAGGCCGGTGCATCGAGAGCAGGTCCACTCCAATCAACATCCAACAGGCATGAAAAACACCATCGCTAACCCCTGCCGATGATGCGCTCTGCTCTCGTATGGATGACCGGTGTCCGGAGTACGACAGGGACCGATGGCCGGCCCCACTCCAACAATGGACGGACGCTGACCGGCTGACCGGGCCGCTGCACGAGGCGCGATGAATGCCGCTCATGCTGCCGCACAATGCAGCGGCTAATGACGGTGCTAGGATGGCCAGCGGGCGCTGCGTCGAGAGAGTGCGAACAGAGGGAGGGGCGAGTGGAGTGGCGTGCTCGCTAGTGAGGATGGAGTCTGGAGGCGGAAGAAAGGCATTCATGTAGGTACATTGGTTGCAGTGGTAGGTGCACTACATTGGCAATGTCCTGCAGAATCGGCTATTTTGAATAATGAAATGAACAGTGGCATGTTTTGCGATTAATTCATTGAAGTTCCACAATTTTGTAATCCAAGTGAATAGTGGCCTGTGTTAGCCTTATTGACAATGAATCTTCATAGATGAGGCCGATCATTTCATTTGATATCAGTATCCGTTGTGAATATATGCAAAACATCCACAAAATTATAAGCGATATGTTTGTGGACGTAATTAGTACCTAATATCGTGGCGATTTTCGAACATTCATGCGAAGATTCACCCACATCCTCCCAGTGCTAAGTACTGTCGTTGGAATCTGCCCTGACCGCGTGCGGCGACTCAGCACCGACTGACCTTTGACCCGCAGCCCGCTGACGTCACCCCTCCCTCTCTCCCTCCCTCCCATCTCCTCTCCGTGACAGGTTGTCTCTCATGGCGTCGCGACTGTGGACAAATGAGACCCAGATAGAGTCCAGAGACGGCCACAGCTGACCAGAGAGTGACAGGCCCAGATCGGCCCTGACGCCGATAAGACCAGGCGGCGCGAGCGTGCGCAGGCCGCAGACCAGGCCGGGGTCGAAACAGAGCTGGCGCGTGTGGGATGGAAACAAACCATGACCCTTGTCTGCCGGCCTCCGTTGTTTTATGTAGGCTTGTGTGATAAGACGCTGACGTTATGTTAGGTAAGCTAGCATGCCCGCATAAAAGTAATCTAGGAGGTTCATGTGACGTTCATTATTGGCATGACTGGCTCTTACCACCTCCATCAGAGTCACTGCCACCACCGCCAGCGCTACCTCAAGGTGGCGTTAATTATTGGATATTATCTGCGTCAGGTCCGGGACAAACAGAGATGAGAGGCCTCAGATTGACCGGTCCATCAGGGACAGGAGCTCTGACAAATTGAGATGAGATTTGGGGATAGTCTGACGGAAGGCGGCACCAAAGCAGTGAGCTCCGACGACTTGCTGTTGCCTTTGACGAGAAGTTGAGGCTGCCGACTACGATTGAATATGGTCAATGATTATTCATTGTCCACGGAAAAATCATATTTCATAATCATGCAGGGACGTCGATATCACGCAACTCTACATGAATGGTTGGTATCGTCTATCCATTTCTCCCGTCGTATGTAGATCATCTAATGATGTTCTTTTTTTCTAATGATGTTCTTCGTCGCCCATAGTCGGCGTGTATTTTGCTCAGTCCGTCTATCAGCCAATGCACCGCGAACGCAATCTCATACTGCCCGCTCTGTGGCATTCAGTCGTGCCACGAAACGTCGGCAGGGAAGGCGACGGCAGTCAACAGCAGCCCATAGCGAGTGCTTCTCCCATGCTTCTCATACACGAAACAAATGTGTCGGTGGTTCGAGCACTGTCTGGCCGCCGTCCGGTACCAAAATAACCACTAAACAGGCCAGCCCACCGAGTAGCCCGCCCCCATGGTTAGCGGCCATTAAACCACTAATGGCAGGCCTGTTGATGTCTATTAACAATGTCGACAGATTAGCTGTGGCAGCCCCGCGGCGACTGATGTGGCCAGCCGGCTGTTGTGGTTCCGATTTGTTATTCGGTTAGATTGATATACGGGTGGATGATTGGGTTTGAAGTGTAGCGCTATGATGGAAAGGGTTGCGGCCCTAATAGCGTTCATTGGCCGCGCTCGCATCATACGGTGGGTAGCTTGTTGGCTGTTGGAACATGTCCGGTAGCCCGTGCTTCGCCTGACAATGCGCATTCAGCGGTAAATCAGTCGTTAAACAGGGACCACTATCTCAATTTATTAAATACCGAGCCAGTTTTTGCCGCGGCGAGGCTAATGGACAAGCCATGTTTGTTCGGATAAGAAGCTGAGGCCGTGCGCGCCGCGAGTGACCGGAGTTGCTGAGGACGCCTCCCGGGGTCGTTAGACAAAATACGGTAGAGAAGAGACAAGAGGTGATTTACGGCCGCTCAGCCGCTCAGTCTACAGTTGACCAGATGCGCCACACGGTCCTGTGGTTGTCGCCGTGCACAGTACGCCGGGGCTACGGCCGCGCCCGGCGAACGGCTCACCTCTGCAGTCCAGTCACTGATTGGTGCACACCAGATGGAGCGATGGACCGATCTGTCACGCTCAGAGGTGATGGAGCCGATTGGTCCAGCGCTGAACGCTAATTGGTCACGCTTGTCCGATTGTGAGCCCACGAGAGTTAGTTTCCACACTCACCAAAAGCAGTGGTCATTGGATCGAGATAATGGAATAGCAGCGGCTGAAATCTGACAAAAGGTGTCGTGTAAGTATCGAACTTTTACCAAAGCGTCTGCGCTGCCTGCAGATCGCGACAGGCTGCGGTTGGAAAATATAGTCATTAGCGTGAGTCAGCTAATAACTGTACGGAGAACCAGCCTTATCGTCATTTCGCAACCGTTAAATGCCTGGCATGTATCGGTACTTGGTAGCACACATAGTTTTCTCAAGCTCCTGATTT